TAAAGAATACGACTTTATTCTTCAAATGTACCCGTTTAGTCCCAAAATGAAACCATCATGTGATGATACCTAAGGCCACCAAAACCATTGTTACTCCAGTTACAATTTTTAATGGTGACTTAATAAAAAAAGAATACAAAGGAGAATACAAATAAGACAATTACAGGAAAGGAATATGAAACCATTTATTAAAGTAAACCATTCATTTGTACCAGAAACCATTGAAAGATTTGATGAATATACATTTATAGGAATATCGCTACAATTCATGATAACCAGTGCTATGAAAATCTTGACGCAAAAGCAGGAAAGTAGATCTTACACTATGGTCGAAGCACTCCCTGGTGTGACACCTTGTGAATCAATCATAGTGAGTACAGCAGCAGCACATAACATGATAAACTATTTGAAAAGTGAACATAGAAAACACAACATGAAGTGTGTAGGTAATTATACTATAAAGAAAATTGCTTCACTTGGTTAAGGTACAAAACTGCAATACTTAATCAAATCATCCTGCTATTTTCAATGAAGTTGACAATAGCTACTTCAAATGTGACATAAAGGGTCCTAGACCAGCAGACTATAAGAGTTCACCTTTCCTTGGAAAATCTGTCAGACAGTGGAATAGGAAACCTGAAAGATCCACCCACCCAATTGAAAATGTGCCTACCCTGAAATAGGGTAGGTTGGTTGAAGAAAATCCAAAAATCAGCCTACCCCTAAATAATATGCCTACATTCTGGAAGTTTTTCCTTATTACTCAAAACCAATCTGCTGTCATTGTTGCCAATCTGTTGTCAGAACTAGGCCTAGATGAACAATTGGTGGTTTTCTTCAAACATTTCAACATTTTTGTCTGTCTAAGACATCTGAGAAAGAATAAAAGAACTCTGTAAACAAAATGCGAGCAAGCTTTGACGAAATCTCAGAGAAATAAAAAAAACTTAAAGGTGTAGCTGAAACATAAAGTCAAAAACTGTTTGCAAGAATCACCATATTGCAAAATGTAAACTTTTATTACATTTTTTGCTATGCTAATCATGGTAACTCTTCAAGCTTAAAATATACTCATACCTTGTATGTATGTCATTTAGCATTAGGTTAAAGATTAAGTTAAACATTATTAAGTTAAAAATATATATGTGCAGGTGCAAATGGGGTAAGTTTGAACTAAACAGGAAATGGTTTAAGACTTTTAATTTGTTACCATAGTGTGACATTTGGATTTTTATATTTTTAATAACCCTGTTATTGAGGGCTAAACATTTCATTTTACAGTTTTCTATAGGCAAATCAAACCCTGCTGGGAGCTTAACTTTCATTCACACTTCACATGTTTTCTTCAGTATTAGCCTCAACTTTCAAACAGCCAAGACCTGGTAAGAATATTTCATCATTTTGTCCACCTTTTTGTCCCTTTTTGAATATTTCAACATTATATTTGTCATTACTACTTTATTTCATATAACTTTAGCTTCAACCTAGTGTAAATACTATTTTTGTATTTTGAATACTTTTTGAGATATTTATTTGAGTATTTCTATTTTGCACAGTCATGACAGTTTTGGCATTTGTGCATAGACATTTCATAAAGTTACATTCTTTGTCAATAAACAGATAGTATCCCTACATTGTTATTTGTGACAACTATTTGGTAATATGACTTATCTTGCCATACTTATTTTATAGCCACGGGTCTACTAGTGGGCTTTCTAGTGCTAATACTCACCACCCTGTTGAGATATATTTAGGTACTTATATATTTTTATTATTGTAAACCTTCACGGTGATGTCCTATTAAATCCATTTAATTTCATTACATTTGATACGGTAACTATAATCTATAAAGTGTATCAAGCACTGTGTTAGGGTTTATTTTGGAAATATAACAAGGGCCCTTTTTAATTCCACAGCCCTTTCACTAACTGGTTTTATCGTAAAACGGTAGATTACTACATTGTATTGAATGCCTTATGTATATGGTGTATGTGTACCTTAATATATTTCTTTACATTTTAGGGTCAAGTGTGAGTGCTCTAGTGGGTGGCCTGGTCATTTAGGCAGATAGATTTTGGTCATTTAGACAGATAGATTTTTAAGCTAGATAGTATTCAATTTAAGCTCGATATTCATTTTGAGCTAGATAGTATTTCTATTTTGCACAGTCATGACAGTTTTGGCATTTGTGCATAGACATTTCATAAAGTTACATTCTTTGTCAATAAACAGATAGTATCCCTACATTGTTATTTGTGACAACTATTTGGTAATATGACTTATCTTGCCATACTTATTTTATAGCCACGGGTCTACTAGTGGGCTTTCTAGTGCTAATACTCACCACCCTGTTGAGATATATTTAGGTACTTATATATTTTTATTATTGTAAACCTTCACGGTGATGTCCTATTAAATCCATTTAATTTCATTACATTTGATACGGTAACTATAATCTATAAAGTGTATCAAGCACTGTGTTAGGGTTTATTTTGGAAATATAACAAGGGCCCTTTTTAATTCCACAGCCCTTTCACTAACTGGTTTTATCGTAAAACGGTAGATTACTACATTGTATTGAATGCCTTATGTATATGGTGTATGTGTACCTTAATATATTTCTTTACATTTTAGGGTCAAGTGTGAGTGCTCTAGTGGGTGGCCTGGTCATTTAGGCAGATAGATTTTGGTCATTTAGACAGATAGATTTTTAAGCTAGATAGTATTCAATTTAAGCTCGATATTCATTTTGAGCTAGATAGTATTCACTTTAAGTTAGCTATTCACTTTAAGCTAGATTGTCACTTTAAACCAGATATTTATTCAATTTGCATATATTTTGAAATAAATCAGTGTTTTATAGTTTTACATCATTTTCGTGTTCCCATGTGTTGTCCCTCGCCCAATGGTTACAATAGTAACATATATTTCTTAAATAAATCAACCATCAAACATGTTGGACTTAATTTGTCTCGCTACATGAGACAGATAAGTCACAAAACACATTTGTATGAACACAAGATGAAGGCACATTTTTAAGTATCGTGAAGAGGGTATTCACACAGAAGTAGAGCGAATGAAAGAAGGTCCAATCACAAGGAGCAGCTTCCTACCTACTAAGTAATAGGACAAAGGGCAATGGGCAATCCTACAAGAGCAGGTATTAAATTTGATATACATATCTATCAGAACAGTACTTTTACTTATAGTCATGTTTGTTTTTGATTGAATTGTTATTTAACCATGAACCATGTCTACATGTTGATCATTTATGCCCTGCTACTCATTCTCTCATTGGTCAATCAGATACTGTGTGAATAAAAATATATAGAGGTATTCCATCAATCACGGATCATATTTTAGTACAAAATGTTTAACTCCAACAAGGAAGAACAAGGCTTAGGGTATGCATATGCTTTGAAATGTAAACAATGTTCATTCATCCCTTCTACATTTAAAATTCAATCAGTCATGAATGCAGTTAGGATATCTACCACCATATCTATTGACAATGAATAATATAATTAACAAAAACAGTCAATATTCATGATTGTGAAGCCCAGTCATATGTTTGGAGATGTCAAACAGACAACTCCAGTTGGGACATCAACAGATATCAGTATACAAGATATTGAATATTAAAAACAAGTTAATCGTCGTCATGTTGATTTGTGCCACAGTCAATCATTAGCAAGGGATTCTGTTCATTTGAGTAGATTTGGTAAAACAAGACTTGCCAAAGCCTACAGCTCTGCAATAACTGTCACTTTGAGGAATTTTCTTTGTTTACCAGCACCAAGCAAGCAGCTAGGCTATGTGTGTAATTCTTCATTTAAATTTTATAATTTCATTAATTTAAGTTCTGAAAATTCCAGTCAGACTGAAGAAGAAAGATAAATACTGAATACTGTTAGAGAGAAGTTAAGGGGCAGGTCAATATTTCTATAATTTTTTTAACTCCATTAATCTTAGGACAAGGAGGGGTGTCCTCTTGAGTGCAACCTGTTTATTTAAAGACATTGAATAAAATTTTTAAAAAAAAACGCTTTTGCAAGCACTTTTGCAAAAATTGTGACAACACAGGCCACATAAAAAACTCAAAACTGAAAAAGAAGTTAGATTTCCTCTGAAACAAACTTAAATGGCAAGGATCATTTCTTCGATTTAAGAAGTAGCGATTCTTATAAAAACAAAAATTTAAATAGAAAAGTGCATCTCATTAGGTAATTAAAAGTGGACACAGAACAAATATACCAATTGTGTGCTGTGCACAGTTGTTCTGTTATTTCAACTGTTTTACTTTGATTGAATATGGCCACTTGTAAGAATTACAAAGCTTCAAGATGTAGTTCTCTCTTGACTCATCCATCCTTTTCAATGCTAGAAAGGGGGAGCAGTTCCCCCTAAAATAAAGACACTTCTCACTTTTTATAATCTTAATATCCCAAAGTTTGAAATGTGATGATTGAAATAGCGCCCAATAGTTTCTCAATGAATTATGATTCTTTGAGACAGTTCCTTACATACATTATAGAAGAACAAAAGAATATGATCAAAAAAGGTATATATGCGCCACATGAAATAACACCCATCTCAAAGGGAGGTGGACTTATCCAACCGGCCTCTGATAATATGTATACCAATACCCAGACATTAAATGGTAAAGAAACATTGCACTGCCCTTCAACATAAGGATTTCAAGTTTCAACGAAACATGATATTAAATATATATTAAAACCCTCAGTTGCTCAGTGTTTGCCCTGCCAAGGCCTTTAACATATGACAATAAATGAAAAAACTGAATGACTACAATAATGAGAATGTTTCAATGAGGTGAAGTCTAAGGTTCGAAGCCCCTCTTTAAATGGTGGTTACACTGGCCATTTGCATAACGTCCCTGCTACTGAAGCCATTAAATGATGTTTAAGAAAAGTAAAATATTAATATGTCTACATTTACCATTAAGTAAGATAAAAAAAAAAGTCATACTCAATTTCCAGGATTCAGAATTCATCTCCTGAGCAGACATGATCTGGACAAGAAGATTGGACAGGAAAAAGCAATATGGTCAAATCAACATACAGATTAAAGAGGTTTTTGATGGACTCGTCTTCCTGTATACAAGGCATTGTATTCAGTTTATTACAGATACGACAGTACAGAGAACAACATTTATGTGTCTGATACATGCAACAATGCAATTTACATTGACATAGTTATCCAAGTTACAAATCTGACAAAAGTTGATTAAATGATATAAATTCCCCAAATATATTATTTATGATTAAATTTGTTTTCGTAACTAAGCAGTAAGCTTCAAATTAAAGTTGGCATTGATTTATCCATGTAGATCACATTCTTACTAAGAAGCAATGAGAATTTCAAATTTTTATATACAACTTTATTTCCAGAATTGTGACTTTAGTCGGGACAACTACTTACATCATTATACATGATATTGAATATGAAAGTATTCATGATTCCAACAGTAAGCTGCTTATCTTCAAATACATTTGTTTTTATTTGGTGAAACATTAACATGATCCCATATTTGGAAATTCCAACATACTATATTCCTCAATTAATGCTTTAAATGCATACCACTGATGCAATAGAATGGCACTTAATAGTCTTCACTCAACTGGAACTAGGATTTTCTAAATAGATTGGTCACCTATCTTATCTTAGAATTCCAAAAATCCTGTGCTTGGCAAACTGAAATGCCACATATTCCAAGTCACTCAATATGATCTAGAGAACTGAAAAAGAATACTAGCCATTCTGAAATTAGGTGGCATAATGCTGATGCTGTGATAACAATCTCTCGCAACGAAAACATCATATAATGGATTCATGAAACTATTATTGTGAAGCATCATCACTTCATAGAGCTGATCTTCTCTAACCCCACAACACAAAAACATATAAATAATAACCAGAACCGTGGTTTGACACCCTGTATTCCCAACATACCATCCATCCTTAACCACTCTACAAAAACTACTGTTCAAACACAAGAACATCATAAGCAATGACCCTGAACTCCAACAATTTAGAGGATGGACTTGTTCCTAAGGATTGATCTCTATTTCTAAGAGCGGCTATTTTGTGACAATAAATAGGAGACAATAAATAATGCAGTGATGACAGCCAACATGATATTCAATTGTTCATATTGAAAATGGTACAAAATTGCCCTGATCAACATCCTTCAAATTTCCCTATCCTAATTTTTGGAGAATCAATATAAGTAGTTGAAAAATTATCCATGTACATTTTACTCTTGTTGTGGTTATTTAAAGGTTTTAGGAGGAAATAGAGGCTTTGATCAATTTGCTACATTTGAATTTTCATATTTTTAATAACCCTGTTATGGAGGGCTTAATATTTCATTTTACATTTTCTATAGGCTAATCAAACCCTGCTGGGAGGGTAACTTTCCATTCACACCTCACATGTATTAGTATGAGCCTCAATTTTCAAACAATTTCAAACAATTTTCAAATCTACCAATAATTTTTGGAATGACGACAAAACTTGAAGTCAGCATGTGTTTACATCTTATGTGAGTTAAATATTACAAATTAAGAACAAAATCACAATATTAAATACAATACACATGTACAGTCTAACCCACAGATAATGATGATAACTTGTTAAGTGGATGGTTTTTGTTGCAATAATTTCCAAATATTTCTTTGCTGATTGTCTTTTGCAATACTCCCCATGTTATCAAACCCACAGAAAAATATATAAAAGCTGTTACATAGATCTGATTCTCCCTTAAAATGATAATCATTATAATGAAAACACATGATGCTAAGCCTTTATTGTAGTCTTGTTTGCAGCTAGACTTGGCCAAAACATACATGTTGATAGATGATTCCTTTGAGGTTCCATGCCCAGCTGCTTGCAGCTATAAGCTTGGAATTGTCCAACATTAATTGCGTTCTTGGAATAAGGGAGGTTGCAAACCCGAAAACAAACAGGCAATGTTCTTGGACTAAGGGAAGTTGACAAACCCGAAAACAAACAGGCAATGTTCTTGGACCAAGGGAGGTTGACAAACCACAGAACAAACAGGCAATGTTCTTGGACTCTGGGAGGTTGACAAACCTGACAACAAAATGATTAACAGATGATTCCTTTAAGATTCTGTGCCCAGCTGCTTGCAACTACAGGCTTGATCATTATTGGAATTGTCCAACATTGCTGTCTGGGACTGGAAGATATATCAGAAGGAGGGGGGATTTTACTACTACAAAATAGGTAAAAAAAAAGCAAATGATAATTACATTTTATAATATATAAAAGGGATGGACTGGAATAATATAACATCCTAAATTGGTAAACTTTGTTGCTTGAGGCAATCACTTTTATTCACTCTCTTTAAGGTCAACATGTCCAGAATTTTCATGGCTTCCTCAATGGAGTCACATGTTTTTTTTTTCAAATTAACTTTATACACTTGTTGGCTAAGTTAATAATAATTTAATAATAATTCATTATGAACATTACATTTATTAATTCTTTCATAAACAACTTTTTGTTGCAAGTATTGAATATATAATGGGTTATTCTTGTATAGGCCTAATGGGTCTTTATTTCGTATGGACTCGTTTTAAATGAATTATACATAATCTATATTTCTGAAAAGCAAGAAATAAATAGCCTTCTGACACTCTATAGTTTTTTAAACTGTGGACAAAGTCAATATTTCACCCGGATTATATTCGTAAACAATAACCCTGGTAATATGAGTAATATGTGACGTCATAACGGCGGGCCAACTAGTAATGGCGAACCATAATGAATACTTGAAACATTTCATTGAGTTTTCATGTTGGAATTGTTATATACATCTCAGAGCAGGTGGTACATTGACAAATTTAGACCTTAGGGTTTCGGTCATTTGGGGTACAGAAAACATTTGTGCCTAGCCCTGGGGTCCATATTGGTTGATATAACACCTGCTCTGAGGTCTATATTATTCATTAATCAAATTCGAAATCACTCAATCTTTGGGTCCTGAAGGCAGTAGGCAAATGAGATATTCAGAACATTCAAAATATCTTTGTTTGTATTTCAGTCCAGGTTTATGTCTGGTAATAAATCAATTCGTGCAGCTTTGTAATTATGTAGTTATGATATATTAGCTAAATAAATAGATTGCTGCACTTGTGAAACTATGGACAGAAGTCACTTAATTTCAGAATTTATTAAAAAGTGTATACAAGTTCTATGTCTTTCTAGATACATGCTATCCTTTTTGTCTCTACTTATTTGAACTGGATGTATTTCAAGATATATATGTATCATTTCGTATGGTTGGTCACACCCATGAAGACATTGATTAGTTGTTTTGAAGAATTTATCATGAAACAATTAAAGGATAAATTAAAAGAAAAGCAAATATGTTTGAGAATGTTGTTAATACATGCATTAATACTGTCTCTACAGATTTTTAATGATCAACTCATAACAGCCAGTGATTTGCTTTATCTTGTATAAATGAGGAGAGATTGTTACGTATCGGATGCATTTATGAAGAAAACGAATCTTGAACAAGCTTCTATGTGTTGAGTGTAAAACAACTCAAAGACAATAATTTATCAGCTCATGAATAACTTCAAGCATTTTTGTGAAAAGCCCCAATGAGTGTATAAACCTCTGATTTATGGGATGTTTCAACATGGCTAACCGTACATGGTCAACTTTTTAAATCCATATAAGACTTCTACCAGATAAATATGATGATTGTTCTGAACCTCTAAATGTTAGTCCCATATATATATATATCTGGATTAATATATATATCTGGATGATTGCTTTATTCTTTGGCCTTTCTCTGAAGAAAGATTGAAAGCCTTTCACATGGTTCTAAACAGTATTGATGACAATATAAAAATAAAATATACATGTGAAAGTAATAGAAACCAACTCCCGTTCCTCGATATCATGGTTAAAATAACTAGATTTTGGAAATTGAACGAGTTCAATTTCAGACTCCAGATCTAGACTTTTTTTAGCCGAGTCATCCAGAATAAGCCAAGTCATCTAAAATGAACTAAGTCATCAAGAAAAGAAGGATGGATGGATGGATGGATGGATGAAAAAGGAAGGAAGGATAGGATAGAATAGGAAGGAACGATAGGATAGAATAGGAAAGAAGGATAGAATAGAATAGGAAGAAGGGATAGAATAGGAAGGAGAGGAAACGAAGCAAGTGTAGATAGGAAGGATAGGATAGGATCAGAAAGGAAGGATGGATGCATTTTTCAATATTTTCTTCTCTACTCTTGACTTTCTATCAGGATACCATCAGATCGATTTTTCTTGAAATTTCAAAACGCCATAACTTCCGAACCGGAAGTCGGATCGAAATTTGATTTGTAGATTCAGATTCCTGACAAAATTCTCCCCCTAATTCATAACTCATACATTAAATTTGGCGAATTTTTATTTTGACCTACTTTTCGGACACGCCATAACTTCGGAACCGGAAGTCGGATTGAAATTTGGTTTGCAGATTCGGATTTCTGAGAAAATTCTGCTCTTAATTCATAACTCAAACGTTAAATTTGGAGAACTTTTTATTTTGACCTACTTTTCAGACACCATATCTCAAAAGTGGGTCAAAATACTTTCTGACGGCAAAAGGTAACGCTATTAGCACACTCTTGGCTACATGTATACACAATTTCGAGGAATATAATTAAAGTGTAGTGTCCGAATCGCAAAAATAAGGATAAACTATGAATTTGACCTAGATTTTGACCTAGGGATTTTTGTGTCCAAATTTTGAAGTTAGGTGGCCTTCGAGGTTCCCTTCTTTCATAGGCTTTCATTTTTTAAGCTGTACTTAGTCAATATCTCGTATTTTACACTTCAAAAAAATTTTTGTTCCCATTGACATAACATGGGGCACTAAATTTAGCGATTTTTGAGCTTTCAAAATGTAATAACTTCCGCACCGGAAGTCGGATCGAAATTTGGTTTGCAGATTCGGATTCCTGAGAAAATTCTATACTTAATTCATAACTCAAATGTTAAATTTGGAGAACTTTATATTTTGACCTACTTTTCGGA